CCCGCGTCTGCCAGGTAGTACCGGCCTACAAGAAATGACAACAGTTCACCAATTAGTCCTATCAACAGATCACTTACTAGGTACAGTCATGACAATCTCATCATTTGCAATCCTGAACTTAATTAATATGACATAGAGAACACAAATGTATCAGCATTGCTGTATTGGGAATTCATATATTAGCATTGTTATAATGAGAAATCAAATTGCAAAATGTTTAATAAGGAGACAATATGTAGGCACCAGCTGCCATAACAAATTACAACAAAGGGGCAGCAAAATTTGGTTAAGGCATAGAGAACAGAAACATATCAGTTGTCATAGCAAATTGAACAGAAGTATGCTTCAATACATCTAGTACAAGCAAACAATTACGGAATGTGAACATCAAGGCATCACGAACCTGCTGGGGGATGTGGGAATGAAACGTCGCCCTGACAGTCTTTCAACACCGCCATGTCATGACATGCCCCCGCCTTCCCGGCCCCCACGTATGTGAAACGGCCATCCATATCCACGATGGCACAAACATTAATTGTTGTTTCGCCTTTCCTATTGAAGAAATCAGCCTTTGCTTCACGGTTAACCTCAACCTTTATGTGCGTGCCATCTATAGCACCTATGCATCCATCAAACCATGGTGCATATGCAGCAAGTTTGTGCCTTACGCGTGCGTAGTTCCTATCTGTGGGCACTAGGACAGTATTTGCCCACCTATACATGACCTCTGCAACTGCTGTTATCTTTCTGCTAGCTGTATCTAAAGACCTTTCAAACCTATCTTTGCACTCTCTACTTGCAGATTGGTGGGCATAGGTCCAGATGTACATGCCTAGAGCTTCTACCGAGGTACACTTATCTGTTGATGGCAGGCCAAACGACAGCAGGGTGTCATTCAAATGCATGAAGGCATCACACGTCATGTGTAAATTGTCTATATATTTGGTTTGGTCGGCAAGGGTAAGCTGCATCCATTGGGCTCCAGATAGTTTAGGAATGGGACAAGGAGGATTTACCTCAGGCATTTGCTACGACATGATAACTTTCAACCTCAGAAGGACAACTGCTGCCTTCGCCAAGGTCATAGTGCTCGGTCCATCACTGGAAGTGTCGCTGTACGACGACTCGTCCGTGCTGCTCATTATGCTACCTGCAAATGGGCACAAATCAGTAAGATGCTAATGCATATATTAGGAACAAAACATTTGCTAATAAATGAACATGTCAAGATACCTAAACTTGGTAGGTGGCATGGCCATGTTAGACAAATGTATGTAAGGAATGAACAAGAGAAAAGTGATACATGCATAAGGTCTTACAACGCTCACAGCACGACATGAATATTTTATTCAAAACACGAGACAACGACATGCACTTAGTTCTCCGCAACGGTCTTTGTTAAAACAAATAAAACGAACATAACGAAACAACGAACAAACTCAACATGCACATGGTGGAAAACAGAAAAACAGTAGAAAAAACCGCAGCCTGAACAAATGTGCTGATCACTGGGACTTTGTGGAGCACATGAAGCCCCACGTCACATTGATCCAGTTTAGCCATCCCTCTTTAGTTTTCATATTAAGAACAGCCTGACGATGGAGCCTATTGTCGCAAAGGTTTAGGGCTTGCACGAATACTACATCAGTCTCGCTGATACCATCTTGCAACAGAATCTCATGGACTTGGGCCAACTCCTCAGCATCTGTGCTTTGACGGGCCTTCTGGGACCTAGCTTCCCTGATAATGTGGCCCAGGTCTTCAAGGCAGTCTTCCACGGATGGAGTCTGGCTACTCTTCTTACTGCGAGGACTGTTAACAGAATATTCCCTATGGACTCTCTTCAAGGGCTGAGGACCACTATGTGGTAGGACCGGATCATCCGACAAGGATAGAGGAGTGCGAGGGCTTCCACTACTAGGTGACTTGTCAGGTTGATGGCCCCCCGCCGATACCAACTCGCCCCTGTCACGTGCGGTGCGTCCCAAAATCGTGATCAGTTGCTCACAACATTGGGGGCGTCTGAACTTGTCTCTAGGGGGTTGGCTACTTTCCTGCACGTGTTCCAGTGATGGCGAAGTTAGTACTGAGTTAGTGGGAACCTAATTGCTAAAAAAATTCAAGGAAATGCGTGTAGTTAGTACCCCGGGGCTGGCGCCGTACCACTCGGGGTCAGCTGTAACCTCTCCAGTAAGCGGGTCATGGCCTAGCCCAGTATGGGTCTGTCCGTCGCGCCAATTGAAATACAAACGTTTCAGCTCGTTGTATTTATTCTGGCACTTTTTCTTGTTGTACCCAAGCCTCGTGACTTCATTGAAGCCATGAATGACATTGGTCCACCCTAGTGAGGTTGGACCAATGGCGTTCCAGTGACAGAGGTCTTTCTGCTTGATGATTAGGTCAAGAAGCAGAGAGCAGGTTCTGTCATCCCAGCTAGCACGGTCCTGGCTCATCTGATGCAAGGATCGGCATTCGAAGGGATTACGTACATGGATGCATATGTTATGTCATACGGATGATAGTTCAAGTATGCAAAGCTGAGAGTGGGCGACGGAAAAGAGAACTCACCTTTTGGCTCTGTTTGCGGCGTTTTGAGCGGAGGTTGTAATGACTGCCAGCAGGTGGAGAGCAAGACGAAGTCGACGACGCTGCCAGTTTGGGTAGCGTTGGTCACCAGCGGACGAAACGTCCCTAAAATGTCTACAGTGCAAACATAGAGCACACTTGTAAGATGTTAAACCTAATCTGAAAATAAAACATTTGCAGTGGTGAAGAACATTAAATGTGTACTGTTAAACACAATCTGAAAATAGAATATCTACTGAAAATTCCTTGTCTCACATTTTGAACACTGGAACAGTAGTGTTGTAAATTCATTAGTCATACTTCCATGTTTAGTTTGCAAAGTTTAGGTGCACATTGTAGGACGACAAGCAAAAAAGAAAGGAAGGGAATACAGAATTTGCTTGCATAATCATACTACCTTTGACATTGCATTAAATATATCAATTACTAGTATACTTTGATTCAAAACAAACAGCCACATCATATGTACAAAGATGACATGTACAATGTCAGTTTGATGTAGAGGTCAACTAGGCCAAGAGTTACTACAAAGCATGCTTGGGTCCAATTTCCTTGCTCAATAATCACTGAAAAACTATATAACTACAAGGTATGGGACTGCAACGAGAAGAAATATACTCACAGGACCCAATGCTCAACATTACAATTGTACCAACTCCAGCAGTGCCCATAAAATCCCAGTCAAAGTGTGTGGGTCACAGGGTGAGACTGTGATTGATTTGTAGTGGTTCTCATTGTAATCATTTGAAAAAGAGCCAACATAAATAGAACCAATCTTAGATGGGCCCTGTGACAACTTGATTTGGCCTTGGAAACATGGATTGGCATATGGTATAGTAAGCTAAAACATGGATTGGCCTTGAAAACAGTGGGAGGTGGAGGTGGGCACTGTGGCAACATGAGCCGGAAGAGAGCATGGATATGTCAGTCTTTTCTAAAAATTAATCATCCACCCTGATGCTAGCCACAATTCAAATAGGGTTAAGTAGTTTACTTCAAGATTTCCTATTGCCATTTAGTAGATGGTTCAGTAATTTAAGAATACAACAACCTGGTACAGCGGATCTGTAGGTAGAGCAGATCTGTAATATAGAAATAAAAAAATAACAACACAAATTCATTACACAGCCGGAATTCCTTTCATTTATTTGCAAATCTGTAAAATTTTTCAACTTGATACAAGCTGTTCTAGCACATATCAGAAACTTCCTCAAATAAATGTACATTCAATCTAACAAGATTTGTGGATTTCTATCTTACACATACAGTAAAAGACATCAATACATGTTGGATCTCAGATCCGGCCGGGTGAGACTGCGGCGGCGTCGGGTTCCGGGGGGCTTACCGTGCTAGAGAGAGTCGCTGTTGATGGAGGCGGGGTCCGGGGAGAGAGGCGGAGAGCACTGTCACCGAGGCCCGGCGAGAGTGCGGGGAAACCCTAGCCGCGCGGGGGTCAAACTACAAGACGACGAGCTAGGGCTCAGAGGCGGCTGGGTGAGAGGACGGCGACGTGGGATTCGGGGGTTATCTTGCTGGGCGAAGGTGCCGTCGATGGAGGCGAGGTCGGGGAAGGAGGCGGACGTCACTGTCACCGTAGCCCCGGCGAGGAGGACGGCATAGAGAGGCGGCCACGGCCGGATCCGATGGCCATCGACGGGGCCCGACGACGCGGCGCAGACCACCGTCGAGAAACTCGCGGAGAGACAACGACGAGCGACGCTTGTGCAGGGAACCCTAGTCACCGACGAGAAAGAGGAGAAAATAAGAGACGCCGACGCATGCTGCGGCTTATAACACCAGCCATTCGACTGGAGCTAGGCTGCCAAATGGTTGGGCTAATAAGCCCAGCACCGGTCCGCCCAGCTAGCCTAACAGGCCGCATGCCCTCCATTCAAATTTTGAATTGAAACCAAAACCTTCCAAAAAATAGAACGCTCCACGGTCCACGCCGAGCGCTACTTCATCTCGTATAACACCAACGCATTCCGTGACTACCCATCTGACTGATAGGTGGACCCAGTAAATCGGGACCCACGTATCAGCGAAATATTTCAGGAGGAGGCCAGGTCGCGTTCGCTCGGACACGACCCGAAAATTTCAAACCAGCGTAGCCAACTCTTCGATCCCGCCCGCGCAGCCCGTCACTCACTGACGTTACGTCCTCACATGTCAGAGGTTACCAGGGCGCGTCATCTTTAACACCTGTCCATTTCCCTTCATCCATCTCTCTCTCTTCTCCCCCCAATCTCTGAGCCGGAGCTCGAGCTCCCAAACCCTAGGCCTCACCGGGGAGCCATCTCCGCCACGCCAGCGATGCCTCTCGCCGCAGCGGCTTGACGGGGCCCGCCCCCAAACCTACCTCTTCGTCGGAGAGCGCGGCGTGGTTGCTGTGGGAGGCGCGGCGTGGGTGTGAAATGGAGCCGAGGCGGATCTCGGCGAGCCCGCGCCCGTGCAGCGGGCGGCGGGTGGTGGCGGCCAGGAAGAGGCCGAGGCAGGAGGCCGTAGTGAGCAGCGTGCGTAAGCTGCAGCGCCGGGAGATCAGCTCCCGCCGCGACCGCTCCTTCGCCTTGAGCGCCGCGCAGGAGCGCTTCCGCAACATACAGCTGCAGGTTTGCCCCTAGCCCCGTCACCACTATCTCAAGCGTCAGCAAGTTAGATCCTTTTTCGTGGTTAGCCGCCAGTTCTTGGTGTGAGGAATTACGGGTGGGGTGTGCTCACTGGCCTAGTTTAGAGTGAGCCGGCCGATTTACGTGAGATCTATTTAGCATGCTTTTGAATTCTTGTTGGTAGCTGCGAGTGGAGTTCAGTGCTGAACGGCGTGCCCGATGAGAGGTTAAGATTGTCTGATACGTGTTGTGCGGCTTATATAGCAATGCTTGTTTGAGGAGTCGCCAAAAATTTAACCTTCATCTGTGCGACTGTGTGTGTGTGTGTCAAAACCCTCTATGCCTTCGCACTGGTCTGCTTAGGCATTTGTACAGTTCTGGTTTGTTCAGTCCGGGGCACTTTTTTATTTTATTTTATTTGGGGGCACATTGATATTTTCTTGGTCAAGGAAAAAGAGGGTACTGTGCGCTGAAATGCTGATGTTTGAGATTGTCCAAACCTGATAATCTAGGATTGTTTGAATCTGCTTATCCCCTATAGGCTGTAGCAAATGCCAGTTACAATTCTCTGCTGTAGTCTCTATGCTGCCAAGTTGGGTTGGTGCTACACATGCTGGAATCAGCTGCTAACCAAGTACTGTGCCAGTTGATGTCTTTGTTCTGTAGTATGAATTTGCCAATCTTGTCTCTTATTTCTGAATATTATTTTAGTACTTATTCTGCAGTCAACGAAGAGCAAGGATGTCATCCTAGTTTGAATAACTAGGTTTGTATTATCATTGGCACTCCAATGCTCAAACACAATCACTTTGTGCTGGGAAATCACCGTATTAGAGCTGTCAACCTTTGCAATATCAGTCTTTTTGTCACTGTGCAGCAATAAATTTATCTCAAGTTCTGTTTTTGGTAACATCGATTGACTGCATTTTAAGTTTCTGATAAATCATGTTTGCTGTCACTTTTAGGAAGAGTTTGATACTCATGATCCAAAGGAGAACACTTTGCTACTCCCTTACTTGAGGAAAAGGTCAAAAATCATTGAGATAGTTGCAGCGCGTGATATAGTCTTTGCTTTATCACAGTCAGGAGTATGTGCTGCTTTTAGTAGAGGTATGGCATTCCTGCCTTCTTGAAATCCATTTCTGCTTCCTCTGGCTGTCCTGAGATTCTCTTTTTATATTTCCAGAGACAAATCAGAGAATATGCTTTCTGAATGGAAGTCCAGATGAAGTTATCCGCAGTTTATTTTACAACAAGAATAATGATTCACTCATTACTGTGTCAGTATATGGTTCTGAAAATTTCAGTGCTCTGCGATGCAGAACAACTCGAATAGAGTATGTTTGTTGTTCCATATGCTTTATCAATGCAATTTTTTTTTGTTATGTCATCTTCATTAAGCTTTTTAACCCAACTATTCAAGGTACATTCGGCGAGGACAACCAGATGCTGGTTTCCCTCTTTTCGAGTCTGAGTCATTGAAATGGCCTGGATTTGTAGAGTTTGATGATGTCAATGGGAAGGTTTTGACTTATTCTGCTCAAGACAGGTATGCTGATTGCTGAGTCACTGATTTTGGTAATGGCTAAAAGAAACTGAATCTTCTGTGAATCTGCTCTGATGCCATCTCATCAATAAACAGCACTTACAAGGTGTTTGATTTGAAAAACTACACGCTACTGTATTCGGTGTCTGATAAGAATGTTCAAGAAATAAAGATCAGGTAATTTGATATTTCCTTCTTCCTGTGTTCCCTTTTCCTGTGTGTTACTGTATTAGATACTCTTTATGCTTCTTTCGACTTTGATGTGTGGTAAATTGATCAGTCATCATTTTAATGTTTCTTACATCAGAGGTCATAACAGCAGCAGGTTTGGCACTTAGGGGGTGTTTGGATCCTGGGGCTGAGAATTAGCCCATCTTGTGATAATGGGCTAAACAGGGACTAATGAAAGCTAATGGGCTTGAGGCCCCACTAGTTCTTATTAGCCCATGTTCAACCCTCCTATTTGGCATCCAAAACCCAGGGCTAATAGCCCATGGGATCCAAAACCCCCTTAGACATCTTTAAAATGGACAGAATCATTCAAATATAGGGTAGGATATATACTAGCGCATGGACTCTGGGCAATAGCAGTTCTTACAGCAGATCTTGTCTGTATACTTTCAGCTTGAACCTTGAAGTATTTTATTTGATTCTTCAGTTGGCTGTACATATTTGCAATTTGCATTTGTCCAATCTCAAATTATCTCTTTTCTTGTCATAGCCCTGGGATAATGCTATTGATTTATACAAGAACAAGCAGCTCGGTTCCTCTGAAGATTCTTTCCATTGAGGATGGTACAGTCTTGAAGTCCTTCAGCCACCTTCTCCATCGTAACAAGAAGGTAGATTTCATTGAACAGTTCAATGAAAAGCTTCTGGTCAAGCAGGAAGGAGAGAATCTTCAAATTCTGGATGTAAGCCTTGTACCTAAATGCAATCAAACAAAGAATATTTGTTTCGTCATTAGGGTTTTAACTCTGAACTCACTCGTGTACCTAATATCTGTAGGTAAGGAACTTCCAGTTGACAGAAGTGAGCAGAACTGAGTTTATGACTCCATCTGCCTTTATCTTTCTGTATGAGCTGCAACTGTTCCTGACATTCAGGAATCGATCAGTAGCAGTTTGGAACTTTCGAGGTGAACTGGTCACATCATTTGAAGATCACCTGTTGTGGCACACTGACTGCAACACAAACAACATATACATTACAAGTGATCAAGATCTTATTATTTCATACTGCAAGGCTGACTCAACTGATTCATCTTCAGAAGAAAATGGTGAGCATGTTTTATATATATTGTTCAACTGCTCCTGTAATTTTTTTTGCAGTGCGTGTTGTATTCTCCTGGTTATGTTCTTTTGATTTTCCCTTGTAATGTTCTTTCACTGCCAGCTAGATCATGTTTCATGTGCTTCCCAGATCAAACTATTTAACTATAATTGCCATTGCCTGATCTCATAGCTCATGATGCATGTTTCGTTCTAAGCTTGATTTTGTTTCAGTTTGATAAATTGGTCAACTGTTTTGGATGGAATTCACTGTAGTTTTTTTTTCACTTCAGTTTGATGTACATAAAATGGCACACGCATGGTATTCACTACTTCAAACTTTTTGGTAACTGACAAATATAGTGCCTAGTATTTGGCTGGGACTTCTTTTTTAATATTGCATTTCATCCTTCCTTTTAAGATTATTGAATGAAACTGCATTTCTTGTGCTTTCGCTTATAAAATTATTGAACAATAATCTTTCTTTCCTATAATGCAGCTGGCTCTATAAACATCAGCAGCATACTGACTGGCAAATGCTTGGCCAAAATAAATCCTGGAAATTCATGCAAGCAAAAGAAAGCATGGAGGTTCCAGAATACGGTCTCGGAGGCCCTTGAGGACATCACAGCTCTGTACTATGACGAAGATCGTGATGAGATCTACACTGGCAACCGGCATGGCCTTGTCCATGTGTGGTCGAACTGAAAGCTGAAACTGTGGCGGCTTTCACCCACAACACGGTGATCTTCACCTGTATGTGTATTAACAGCTTGTGCCTCACGTGGCAGGGGGCATGAAGAGGACCCCCAGCCACCAGGTACGTATGTTCATTTTTGAGGCAATTCTTATTTATCTCAGCATGACAAGAGTTCTCTCCACCCATTCAGAAATCAGAACCATCCAGATTCGTTGTAGAATGGCAATCGTTGTGCGTTTTCACTGTAGCATGTAGCTTTTTGGGAATGCCGATTATGTCCCTCAAACTCAGCCACAGAGCGAGTTCAAGTGTAACGGATGTTCCTTGCAAGTAATGAAATTCATTCGTTGAGTTCTCATTTCATCGAAATGCTTTCACTGTTGAAATGCCAAGAGTATGTATGTTCAGAAATGCGGAATCCTATACTCTGACTGAATGTCTTAGGCCTGGTGAGGGTGCTCAGTAGTCACCAGAGAGGATGCTGCTCCTTTGAGAAGTACTGTAATTCAGAGTGCGTACTCAAGCACAACTCAGTCTTGTTTTTTCGTGGCCAGAATTTAGATTAATCTAAACTTTGGTTGACTAGAGAGGAGCAACAGGCCTGAGGTTCGTTTGCAACACGGGAACTGGAGCGTTTGCTAATGGAACTCCTGCGTTCCAAACGAACTCTAAAACTCTGAATGCTGCGGCCACCCACTAGGCCACTACGCTCGGCCCGGCCCCGGCGCAGTCTGTGCTCCACCACCTCACCGCCCTCACGGCCACCCCGCATGGTGCGGTGCTGGTGCCGAAAGACCAAGACGCAACCACCTTGGCGAGTCGGCGATCTCCGACGGCAGAACTTTCGGCGCCCGGAATTTCAACACGCACCACTAGCTTAGCTTGGGGCAAGCAAGACGACTAGACCAAACCAGAGTGATCAAGTGCTGAGCCGACCAGGGCTGGCGCCTGGAAAAAGGAAGCACGGCACCAACCATTTGTTTCGCCGCGTGCCGGCGAGGCCGTTAGGATTTCGGTCCCGGGCAGGGCAGTCCAGATGCTTGGCCCGGATCCACCGTGCAGTCTCAGTCTCGCCACTCCATCATGGTAGCATGTATGTACAGGGGCTCATGAAGTGGGGGACAAAAAAGCGTGACGCTCAAGCTCAAGCATGCCCCGCTCCTCCTATATCGCCCTGTTCGTTTTGTTTATAAGCCGTATTTTTTCAGTCAACGAACAATATTTTTCTTTCACAATAAATCAATCAATAGTACTTTCAGCCATGGCTTATCAGCCAAACGAACATGGCATATGTGTGGACTGAATTTGAACCGACACAGCAACACTGTCCAAGTGATTTTTGTTGGCATCACAACCTTTTCTTCTGAAAAAAAAATAGTTGATTCTCCGAACCCAATTCAGACTGCGCATGAGAAAATGCAATAGTGGGGAAAAACAGAGAGAGAGACAGGGGAATTGTCCTACTCTAACCTCTCTTTTTTTGTTTTTTTTGAAGTATTTACACTTTGCTCCCTCTTTACAAGGTGTATGGTTTTACTGCCGGGTGCCGGGTTAAAAAAAAACCACACACGCCAAGAGGAGCTTCAATCCACGTTCACATTCTATGAGTGACCCCAGTTAGGGCTCGATCGTTTGGGGCAATTTGACACCAGGATTCATTCCGGCTGATGAAATCTTATACAAATAAACTAACGATTCCGGCCGGGAACTGTTCCTGGCAGTGATTCGGGGGGAATCGAACGGCCCTTAATCGGCTTTTTGATATCAAAGAGGAACGAAAAAAATGGCAGCCATGAGCAACTGCTGTGCTCCCGGGCCCAAACAATTGGGGGGCAAAAGAAGAGGGAAAAAAAGCACCCATGCCAATGGAATGGCACGGCGGCGATATACAGAGAGCGCTGCACTAGGAGGACCAGCTCCTGAGCAGGGACGGCTTGCCGAACATCTGGTCGAGCGCGAGGACGACAGCCATGGCCAGCGACACCTCCATCCCGGGCTGCACCACCAGCCGGAACACGTCCGAGCCCACGGTCTCCTTGGGGAGCACCTCCGCCACGGCCTGCCGCCGCTCGTCGTACACTGTGCAGCGCCGCCGCAGGTACGACCCCTCCACCTCGTACCCGCCGGCGCCGGTTTTCGCGGCGGCTCCGCCAGAGCACGCCGCGACGTGCGCCATGGACTTGGCGCCGCCGCGCATGTACTGCGCCGCCCGCTTCACGGCATAGAGCGGCTGCAGGCGCCGGGTCTCCTCGCCCGGGTACACCAGCCACTGGTCGGACCCCAGCCCGAGGCCGATCAGATTCCTGCAGCGGCGGAGGGTGAGCACGGGGCAGCCCGCGGCGTCCATGAGCACGACCTCCGCGCGGGAGTCGGACGCGTAGCTGTCCACGCGGTACACCAGGTCGCCGCGGGCGTCGAACACCGTGAACCCCCTGCCGTTGAACAGCAGCGACTTGCGCCACACAGTCAGAGTGACCGGCTCCTCGTCGGCCGGCGCCGGCGCCGGCGCCACCGCCGGCGGCTGGCCGAGGGACGGCGGCACGGCGACGTTCGGGTGTACCTTCGCCGTCATGCTTAGATCAGCAGACTGATGTTTCTAGATTTAAGAATGGTGGAGAGATGGGAGGGAGGAAGTTAGCTCGCTAGCTATGCTAGAGGGAGGAGAGAAATGGCAGTTTATGATTGTGTCACGGCTTGAGAAAGAGGGGTGGACGTGAGCAGTATATATACACACTCCATGGACAGGAATGCCCCTGGATAATTAGGTTGGGTTGGAAGGGTTATGTGGCAGATGGCTCTCACGTGTATTGGGGCAGGGGATGAGATTATTAACTATATATTCCACCCTAATAATGCTCTGCCACTTTTATCTAAAGTTTAAACTAACATGAAACTTTAGACAATACAATAGAGACACATTTACACTCATGTAAACATGAATCTTGGCTAGGATCCACCCGAGGACTACATCAGGTAAAAGGGTTAGAAGTATATATTGTTTGCTTATAAATGTATGGTAAGCATTACTTTCTTGAGGCCGGTTTAAAAGATATAAGGTAGATGTATTGGTTAGGTATCATAAATGATGGAACATGTTCACTTGAGTTTAAATCTTGATTTAGCATAGGTGCACATATTTACAGTTCATTATTTTTTCAGCGCCGGCTAAGTTACAATTACTTTATCAAGTTTAAGATAAGCCAACGTAATGCATAATAAGGTCATGGACACAGGCAAAGGCGGAGCTATGTTCAGAAGATTGGGTATGGCCGCACCCACACAAAAATAAAAAACAGATCATATTCGTACCTTTATGTCACAAATCCTTGTAGGCATGAGACAAGCATACCCTTTTGTTTTTTCTCTAGCTTTGCCCCTAGACGCAGGATATGCAAGTGAGAATTCTAGGGCGGGTGCATGTATGTAGAGTGTTTGTGCACATTGCGTTCCAAAAATAATGTCAGCGCTTTCTTTTAAAGGTGCAAGAGGAAGCCATCGTTTCAAAATTTTGAAGATGGGAAGGAATCTTAGGTCCTATTTGGTTGGCACAACTCAGCTTTATTAGTGAAGGTGTTTTTTTTTTTGGAAATGGCTTCAGAGAAGCTTTCGTGGTGAAGAGAGTTGTTTTGTTGTGTTTGGAAAAAATATTTGGCAAATAGCTTCACCAACAGCTTCATGCATGGCTAAGAGAGAGAAATGAGGAAAATAGCTGTGAAAAGCTATTTCTGTCAGCTTCACCTCCCTCTTTCCTTTGTGAGAGCATAAAAAAAAGCTTCACCCATGAAGATGTGTTTAAAAAGGGTGTTTGGCAAAAAAAAAAAAAAACTCACCATAGCTCATGAAACTGTTGGTGAGAAGCTGTGCCAAACAGAGTCTTAACCATACAACAAATTTGTTAACAAAGTAGGCTTATGCAGCCACCTCTTCAAATCCTCCCCCACTCTTCATAATGTTTTCAAACCAGGCTGATATTGGAGTTACTAGAAGTTTAAGAAAGAGTGGTAAAACTAATTTGATGCATTTTGTTACTCATAAAAAGGCTGTTAATTAGCCTTATTAGAATCTATAATTACAGCGTCTGGCAGCTTCCTTGGAGCATATTTTTCATGGTATCACTTCTCTCAGCCAAACGTACTACAAAGAGTGATCAGTATAAAAATCGCTTCCTCATTTATACTAGAGCAACTCCAACAGAAGAGTCATTCATATTGTGTAATCTATATTTGACTATTTTGGGAAGAAAAGAGAATCCAACGACTATTGTATCTGACATTCTAAAATAGCAAGCCATCTATCCCGGAATTCTCGCATGGTAAATATAGCTTGCATATGCCGCTAGCCATCTGCCTCGCCGTACTACAAAGGTTGTTGAAGTTTTTCGTGTTTTTGCGAGAATTTCTATTTTAGAGATTAGCTAAATCATGAGTTTAGAGCAACTCCAAGAGATTGTGTAAAATAAGAGTCTAAAATCTATGATTTAGCCATTCTCTAAAATAGAATATCCTCCAAAAGAGTAGAGCAGTGCAACGACCTTTCTAAATTTCTCATTATCTATTTTTTAAAGCTGACATGTAAAGCTGAGATTGATTTGTTTTCCCATTTCCTATACTCCAGCCACTTGCTTGCACACCAGCATGCAGATGACGAGCCTTCATGGCATGCTATTTTTACCCAGCGAGAAGTGCGGGATGAATGATTTGTTATTTTGGAAAACATGATAGAATAGCTGTTGGAGCCATGATTCTTCCAAAAATGTCTAAAATAGCATTTCACGATACAAATGGCTGCTCTCTTGGAGTTGCTCTTAGCTATCTATTTTTACCAACTCTTTTGGAGTTGCTCTGAGAACTACACTTTCTACTAATGTCTATTCATTTTGCAGGAATTATTGCAGGAGAGAATAAGAACGAAGTTGTACCAAACAAGCTCTTACCCTCTTCTGTATTCACGTCTCCGGCTCGACGGCGTTGCTAAAATTTACGACCACTATAAACCCCGATATTCTCGC